GTCCACGATTTTTTAATGGTCTTCACCCCATAGGCTACCAAAACTCACATTTACATGTGATGATGAGCTATCGCTCAAAATATAGGGGGTCACAGTGGTGTAGAGGATAAAGAGCCATTACTAGAAAGCATAAATAGGGGTTCGAGCCCGTCCGGGGCTGAAGTTCTGTCCACAAATCGCCATCCTTGTGGGTAACTCCGAGGAGTTAGAGATTTAGGAGTAGTTACGGTTTACTTAGAAATTACTTACTTGAGTTTTCTTGAGCTTGTCATTGTTGGGCAAATCGTTAAGTGGCAGTGTAATAGCGTGATCCGCGAAATTGACGGCTCCAACGTAAATCTGAAAGTCAAATGGGGACACTATAATGAATGATAGGATGATTGATTATGCTTTTGATTAGTCCTTTGAAAATGGAAATTGAATGCGAACAGAATGAAAGCAGAAAATTAGGACCAAAAGGCAAACGGTCAATGAAGATGTGCTGTATTCCCAAAGAAATGTTTTGCAGTAAACGAATGCGAAAAAAATAAGTTTACTGGAGTTCATATCGATGGCGTATCCTCAGTGGTTCAGATGACAAATACTCCAGAGGAGAGAAGTCGTTAAAAACGCTGGAGACAATTGTCAACTAACGTTTTCTACTCTTCGCCCCCTAAGGTCATCCTGAAACGTGCATGAGAAAGCTATGGGTGAGAGTATGGGCCCATACCGGAATCTTGTATCCAATCCTCTGAACCTGTCTCTAAATACCTCTCTTTCCAGAATCTTTCCTACTACTGAACTACTGAACTAAACTACTAAACTGCAAACGATTTTTAAATGCACTTACAAGTTACAGAAATTAGACCCAAATAAATTGGAAAGGACTGGGAGATCAAATAGAGAAAATGAATTACAAAATAAATTAAATCCTGCTTACATTTCCATCGGTGACATTGTCACGTTGGTGGAATCGAGTGATAGTGTAAGCTCCGCCATCAATAAGCCTTCCCATCATGGTCTCACCAACACCCAGAGACTCATCTCTCGTACGCATTTTACTGAGTTTCGAGAACATCTTCAATGCAGACTGGTCTTCCCGATACTGCTTCTGAAATATTGTTAAACTCAGAGTAGGTTCACAAAAACTTTGGTACAATAATTACACGATTGGGTGCATAAGGGCCAGAAGGTCCGGGAGGGATTGGGGAGCTGTCTCTGAGAAGGCCCGTGTCGAAAACTCAAAAAAAGGCAAGCGGAAAGGAAAATTAGTATGTCTTGTATTCTCACGTCCAATAAATTGTTTAGTCGTCTATTTTAACTACTTACTTGGTCGAAAAGGATCATTTCCCCATTTAGTTCGCTCAACAAATTCGGAGCAAGTATTTCTTCCCTCACATCTACCTAGAAAGTATCTCCCTCGGTACCCCTGGAGTTCAGCATCAATTTATTTGTTAGCAAGTGAATAACGGATATCAAAGGACAGAAGATAACATCTCTCCGCATTAATCGCCCCGTTTTGGGGTGCGCCAAAGCATTCGACCTCAATTCAGGATCCTAGTAGCGATGGATGCGTATATGGTTCATACAGTGAATTGCGGTGGTCAGCCTATGTACAATTCAGTTGCTTCTACCCTCCCATACGAGTCTGACACCAGTGAATCGGCCCTGAGGGATTGGAGACTTAGTCATCTTGGGAGCCTGTAAGAGCACCGATCCAGGATTCAATCCCAGACCACGCATGTGTGTTAGTGCCACTTGCGGCTATACCTCTTCAGACGTTATGGTGTAAAGAGGTGTATGGTGTAAAGATTTGGGTGTAAGATTCAAACAGTCAGTACCTCAGCCCCAACTAAGGGCTAGTTATCAGCAAGTATTACCAAATCTATCGAATTTCATTGCTTTCCAGATATTTAGTATTCATCTGATTGAGCAGTTTACAGGATCGTGGACCCTCCCACATCATATGCCCCAGAATTGTTCTCCAGGCGATTTCGTTACTTACAGGCTTGTGATCGGCAATTATTAGTATTTTGGTCTTAATCTCACTCCTACTTACTGTTTCTCCAAGAGTGCATTTACAAATACACCTTGCAGGAACGCTTTCTCTACTTCACAAAGAGACAATGTTCTCGTGATATCACAAAAAACACCTCAATCATTTTCGGATAACTCCCAGCAAGTGATTCTTCTTTTTGTTTCCTTTTCCTCTTCTCAAAAATGGGCTACTGGTCTTGAAGTCTTTCCTCCCCCCTTCTCTCTAGTCGGTAAAAACTGATCGGAAGGGAGTTGCCGAGGGTGGCCGACTGTGTGGCCTATTGTTCTAACTCACCGCTAATTACTCTGAGAGAGGAACTTTACCAAGACCTGTTGCTGAGTTATTGGTAATCTAAGTAAGGGAGAGGGGAGCATTAAAGAATTTTCTGCTCAATCCAATAAAGGAAAGTGCAAAGGCAGTAATCGTGGCAAACGTACCTCCCAATTAATGTTTTTGTAATCAGAATTGACTGGAATTTTCGATTTTGTTGAGAAACCAGCGTAAGCCGAGTCATCCCATTGCATTGCTCCACGTTGGGGTGGCACCTGAAACAGAAGGGTGAACACCGCAGGTCCGTATAGTGGTATGTGGTGAATCAACGAACCACTGAATCATTCGGCAGGTTCTTCATTCCCAGTTCGTCACCGTAGTAGTAACTGTTAGTTCCTGGTAGCACCAATTGTGTCATGATGAGCAGTTCACTATGGGCACGACTATCCACACGGGAAGCCAGACGGGACAGCCAGGCGTTACCGAACTGGAAAGTGTTACTTGCAAAGAGTTAAGAAACTGGTAATAGAGAGTCAAGCTTGTCATCATACCTCCCATTGAGGCCACACGGATGGGTTGTTGCGGTGGAAAAGTAGGATGTCGGAAAGAATCTCATGAACACAAGTCGCCACTGAGCCTTCGCTACGATGACATATTTCTGAATACTTCTATTTTTAAAAAGTTCTTCGACAAAGGGGCCTTACAAAGGACGTACCGGAGTTCTTGCTGACATGCCCCAGCTCGTAGTTGATTACACTGTCAAGACCACTCATCGTCAGCTGCTTCTTGTCCTTCTCCTTTGCCTCGTCTCGACTTGCAAAAAGAGCGCTGCAAAGGGGGCTTTCAGTGGAAAGAATTCCCATCGAAAAAACTGTCCCACATTTTCCTCCCCTCTGCTTTTGTACTTTCGTTGACGAACGAGTCGACATGGTTCCTGATGTCGCTGATCACATCCGCGATCCCGGGCCAATTCTGGAAAGTTCGCCTTTCAGGTAGGCTCATGCGTTCCTTTGGGGATAGGAGAGAAACTTACCGGCTCCAAGCCATCCGCTGAGCGAGACAAATATTCGATACCTACCAGGTAGAATCCATCAACACCACGGTCAATCCATGACGACAAAACATCCTAAATTGAGGGATATCATACTGAAAGTATAAACTATCGAAGTTAGTTGCCCCAGCGATCAGCTTCCTTTGAATTTTACTGAGTAACTTACAAACATATGAGATCGAACGTTCGAATTCTGCCAATTGAGAACAGCCGCTTTAGGGTTGCCCTTTTCGTGCAAGTACCACGCTCCTTTGTGTTCCGCAAGTAAATCCGAACCTCCTTCAGTTCTCCAGAAGTAAAACTGAAGAGAATCGAGATGACCTTTCCCTATGACCCCAGGGAAGAACCTCAACCCTAAATCTTACATCGGAATAGTTCCTGTTCTCCGGGAGACTGGCCGACGCTGATTTCAGGAACCAGTCATGTTCAGTTGATGTTGTTGCAATAGGTAAGCTGATTACGAATTTCATATCTGAAAGTGGTTCACTTGTCCCGAATAGACTACTGAATGTCCTAAACCGTACCGTTGTAATGGGCACTTTCAATTGCCTTGTCAGCATCTTGGTTCACTCCCAACTTCGGGTCCATTTGTTCGAAATTTCGAATTGCATTCGAGAAATCGTCGGAAATAAGGAAGGGAACGGGCCAAATGGTCTGAATGAAGGACAAATAGTTCTAATAAAGTCGTCGAACAGTCATCAATTTACCTGTACTCCGCTCTTTCGTAGATTTTCCAATCGGTTGATAAGACCCTGCATGTCACCGTATCCATCGCCATCGGAATCTTGGAATGATGGCACCCAAATCTAAAAAAAAGGCACGATGAAGTTAGTGTCATCGATCATCGACGGGGCTGCGTGACAATTGGCATCTGTTCAATCGGTTACATCTCAAGTTGTAGTCAAAAAAGTTGGAGTTCACTCGAAAATAGTCAAACGGTTCGACTTCGAGGAACATTTTTTCAAGGCACCGCTCAACCTTCACTTCCGACTCAAGTCAGGAAGTTGGCTTCTTATCCTGCGAGAACAACAGCAAGAGAGAGAGAGAGCGTTCGGTGTGGGCAAAGCGTGGAGGAGGAATGATCTAAGTAACAGTTCGTGGTAATGGGTATGGCTCTTACTAGTAAGACACTGAACGCCTGAACAGTTCAGCCGACGGGTGGAACGTTGAACTATGAATTTTCGTGGTACCTTCTGCTGGTACTTGATTCTGCCCGTACCTGAGAATACGATGGCGCAGAGATCCCTGTTAGAGGATAGGGAATTCGGGCAGAAAAGGGTTTCAGTCCGAAAAAACCTCAGAGTATACGTGAAGAGATAAAAAGGAGGTTAAAATCGGAGCTCTTCCCAGCGTGTTTAAGACACTGATCCACTTCTGACTACACTCTTTTCCGCTTCTCTTCTATGATGAATGAGTACTTCCTTTACCCTTGAGCCGTTGTTTTTAGTGTTACAGCTTTTCCCCTCCCCAGTATTTCTTTTGTATCATCCACAACTCAAAGCCGTAACTCTAGGCTGGACCAATAAAACCAATGACGGGGTGAAGTTATCCCAATCAATCCAGCTTCTGCATTCGTTTTTGTTATTTCCTCAACCGCTGACTGCACAATTGCATGCTCCCCATCTAAACTCTCTTCCGTTATGTATGTATCGTCCTTTTCCATTAATAAATCAACAAGACCTTTGCTTTTATGAATGTGACTTCTGTGACGTCAGACATGGATGAAT